TCCAAGAAGGACGAAACATCTGTATGATGGAGTGTAATGCACTGTTAATCTCTACTAAATCTTATTTAAATATTATCAAACGGTGCTATTCATTTGTGCGTCCTTTGTGCAATCTTCTCCGGTAACCTCTTAACGTTTAAGACACCTAGCATCGGTGACCAGTCAAAAAGCGTCGAAACACAAATGTATATTTCAAATTTGTGATATTTGGTGATGATTTATGAAAAATATCGTTGAATTTTACTATGAATTCTAGAGTGACTTTGAAATTGTTGATCTCAAAACCCTACCACGATGTCAACTATGTCATTACAAAATAATGATCACAGGCACTATTGTGTTAAACGTCATATAAAGCACACAACTTTGGCTTCTATAGACACAAACATAAGTAAGAAAGTAGTAAAATAAAAGAGATCAAAATTTAAGTTGGAATTCATTTTCATTATATCATGTCCTACTTCTGGACAAACTTGTGTTTCGTTTCATACATCCTTGAAATGTGAAATTGCTGGCATTTGCCAATTTGTTGCCCGATCATCCATCCAAAAACTCCATTTGAACGACAAGAAAACATGGGACCACACCAATTTAAACGGCAATATTAGCGAAATGAATAAAAATTCTAATTCTAAATGAAAAATACGTGTATACTACAGCTAAAAAGTGTTGATCTGTAAGTATACATTCTTATCAAGTAAAAGCAATACACAGATGTATTCCTCGTTAGGAACGCTTCTTAGAAGTAATGATCTTATGTTTACACAAATAAATAAAACCACATAGCACATAACACGACCCGTCGGAGAGACTACATCCGGGCCGATCACTACTAATCCATCCATTAGTGATGTAAACTGAGACTCTCTGGGGATGGAGTCTCATCCTCTGTTTCCCCGCCCTAGTTACACTCAAAATAACTCTATACGACACCATACAAACAAAGAGTATGAAAACGAACGACGATTTTGCTGTACTTTTCGCTTTTACAATATGAGGATTTATAAATGAAAAGAATGACATCAACACCAAAAAATTATGCTAGAACATATAGTCGCCACCTTCTCCGTTTGTCCGTCCGTCCTTTCGTGACTGGAGCATAACTTTGCCCACAGTTAAGCAAGGACATTAGTCGTGCTAGATGGATGTGCAGTATACTAAATTCTGGGCCATTTACCTCTCACTTAGAGAGCTACTGCCCTTTGCGAAAACTTCGTGTCCGAAACATAATTTGACTTGCATTTAAACTAAGATATTGAAACTTAGTATATACATTGATCATACTAAGACGATGTACAATGTACTAAAATCAGGGCCTGCAACCCCTAAATTACAGAGTTATCGCCCTTTGTTAAGAGTTTGTGTCAGTAGCATTACTCTGCCTGCATTTAGACTAGGATATCGTTACGTGATGGACACATCAGTCATGCAAAACCATGGTGCAGTGTAGCAAAGTCAATGCCCATGTATAACAGAATTATTGTCCTTTGTTAAACTTTTGCGTCATGGTAATAATCTGGTGTTACTCAGTAAACAATGTAGCTTATAATCTTGTTTAATATGCTAACGAACGGCACAAATGCGCACCCAACTTAGCTTTACGTACCATTATCTGAAGCATAGTTTGATAGATATACACATTATTTAAATGAACATGTGTGTTATATTACAACTAATTGAGACCTTCTATTCTTGGTTAATAGACTAGGGAATGGAACAAAGCGCATGCTTCTAAATGATTGCCCGAGGTACAACTAAAGTTACTCCACGACGATAAATAACAACAGAAAATGATTAATGAATCAGTTTGTACAATAAAATCATGTTCCTATTCGTCATTCGGTTTTTGTTTTCTTATTTTTACTTTTCATTTTTGTTTTTAAGTTGTTTTTTCTGCCGATTATCGAATGCATTTTCTACCGCAATGGTTGTTACTAAAACAAAGTAGCAGGCATCTGTTTTCTATTACTTATTCTGGAAAACTACTGAACTGGTTTTAATAAAATTTTACAAAAACCGTCCATCGTTAAAGGAACACTTAAGATGTAAATCATATGGTCCCCAACCCCAAGGGGACTGAGGGCCAGGTCCAAAAACATTTTCTCCTCAAATCCCAGGTATGTTAGAATCAAGTACTCTTAATGGATGGAGGAAAAGCCTTCAGATGCTTAAACAAAACCTGTAAAATTTCATGACCGAAGGATATCGCATTTCCCCCTGGGGAGAGGGAAAAGTTTACTAAAGTTTATATTGGAAAAAAACTTTTTTTAACATTATTTGTTTATTTTCTATCAGAAATATTTCAAACCTTGTTAGAATTATTAGTTTAATGAGATGCACATACTGACGTCAGCTAACCACTTGTGTCTATTGTGCGGGGTCAAAAATGGATCAAATAGGTTTAAATTTCGAAAAAGATATCCTCAAATCCCAGGTATGATAGAATCAAGTGCTCTTCATGAATGAAACCTTTGTATGCTTTACCAAATTAGTAAATTTCAAGACCCATATCATATTATATATATATTATATCATATGTTAACATTATTTGTTTATATTCTATTGGAAATAGTTGAAATCTGGTTACAATTATTTTATTAGGCAGAGATGACAGTTTAATTAGATGCACATATCGACCACCTCTAACCCCCCTGGTTGTTTGCCTGGGACAAAAATGGGTCAATTAGACTGAAATTTCAAAACTCTTTTTCGCAATACTACGATATTGTAGAACCAAATACTATTCATGGATGGAAGTGTCTTACGGTGCTTTATAAACATTTTATCATGACCCAGGATCTCACATTTCCCACGGGGAGGGGGTAAAATGTATTAATCTTATATAGCAAAATTACATTTTTAAACATAATTTGTCTATTTTCTCTCAGAAAAAGTTGTTTCTTGTTTAGATTATTTATTAGTATAAGCTATAAGTTTAATAAGATGCACATATTGACCTTGACTGACCCCAGGGGATGATTACAGAGGCCAAAAATGGGTCAAATTGACAGAACTTTCTATTGTTCCTGAATGGAAGGTTCGAATCTTGAGTGTAATATCTTTTAATTCAAACTTTTTTAAAAGCCTTAGCGTGGTAGAGCAGTTAATGTGTACACAATTTACATTTGCATTATGTGTATAGTATAGTTAAAGTTCTATTACTTTTTTAACATAGCCATTACTATGACATGTTACAAGAAGCAGTGTGACTCATGTTATGAAATTATATTGATTTAAACCCTCGAGTTTAACAAAAGATCACAGAAAAGTTACCTTAACTTCTTAACGAATTATTTTGTTCAATTTGTCGTTAATCCTGACCCACCTCCAATGATCATGAACAAGTAACTCAGATGTAATATATACAACATGACAGGTACACTGTGACAGTTCGTCCTTAAAATTACCAAGTACAGTACACAAAATAACAGTAATTTGACCATTTCCATTCCATAACAGAAACCTATGCTTTGTCTCTATTTATTAATTATTAATCATATGTATACATACCTCACAACAGCCACATTAATCCTCCTACTTGATGGAAACAGTTATTCGTTGATGTAATGAACATAAACCATTTGCATTATTACAACGCAGATAGCTTGTAATTATATAACTACAGAACAGCATTGGCAAAGTTGAGAATGCTGTCATGCGTAACAGAAGTTTGGACACAATATAAAAGATAAAACCACTGATTTGAAGCGCTATCTTGATATAGTCTTTCAATGTATACAATATAAAGTTTTGTTAAACAATTAGTCGTAACACAAAGTGTTTTGATCTTATTTGTTATTTCCGATATCCTGTTACGTATGGCGGTGTTCTCAACTTGGTAATGCTATTCGGTAAAACTGTATAGGTTTAATGAATATTCACTATTTCTTTTGTCGTAACACAAATAGTTTATGTTCATAACGTCAACGGATAGTTATTTCCATCCACTGAGAGGTTTAACGGTGGATTCAGAATTGATGGCAACTGAACAAGAGCGTTTGTTAGCAACTTATGATAACTTGTCTGATATGATTTTACATCTCCAGGCCATAATTCTATATAAGTTTTTAAGCCATGTATTTCATCAAATATAAGTCATTATTGCCCTTGAAACACCATTTGTAACCAGCCAAGAGCAGGCACGTGCGCTGTCGTGTTTTAGTAACAAAGCCTACGGTACAATCTATAATATCATTCCATAATTCCAAAGTTAAAACTATATATATAAAGACTACGATGCAAAGAAACTAAACCTATTACAGTAAACTTCAGCAAATGACCGTATGTCATGTTATGATTGACAAATATCATGATAGATGTGTTATTTGTAGATATTTTGAAACCATCCAATATCGAAAAGCACGATTTGTTGACTTATTTGCTTGGAAGATATCTATATCTACATATGTATACATTGTAATCTGATATCGAAGTTGTATTTCCTCAGTTACCTCCTGGCGTTTAAGACACCCAACATCCATGACCAGTTATGAAAACCGGAACATATGCAGCTTAGTAATTGTTTGGCAATGCTAATTTACATTGATTTTTTTATACTTCTTTCATACAATGCATTGAAGAAACGTTGAAACATCATTATCAAAGGTGCATATTTGTAATTGCCAGTTAATATTCTCTTTTATAAGCAAACTAATTAGCAAGAGACATTATCATCTTTATTAAAAGAATGTTAAGCACATTGTGATGAAAACTTTTCTTCTTTTTCGAAGTATTCAAGACCATGACGTTGACCGATGTTTAACCTCACAATAACATTATCCGTTCGTAAACATAAAATATCACAAGACCGATATGTTAAATTATGTTTAATATTTGTTCAAGGATGGACCTTATGCGGTCACCCTAACATATAGCTAATCAGTGACTAGCAAGATAACGAATAAGGCTATACATTCTCTATATATACTAGTATCTATGTAATTAAATACTCTGTGCGAAGTTATCATAAGTACCAGACTCTTTGGTATTCTACAGCTACCATGACGCCGCCTGAAGTATTGCTCGGAGTATTAACATGCATTCGGCTCTTCGTGTGCGTTGCCGCTGGTGATGGAGCTGAGGGGTTCGAGATGTGGTTTACGACTAACAAAGAGGAAATGGAAAATAAACCAATTTATTTTGACAACGCACTTCCTAAATGGATCAGGGGGACTATAGTAAGTACAAGTATTAATATATCCTTACTTCACTATTGGTGAATATAATCGATTCCAGCTGGAATTTAGTAAACATTTTGCCATTGCGTGATTACGACTACATTTGGAACATTTTAACATTGCCACAACCTTTTTTCTTTGAGTTTGAGAGCTCGGCCATTGTAATTTCTCTTCCATTACATTCTGATGTCGCTAACATCGATAATCGTTTTTCCTCACATTCAGCATTGAAAAGAGGGTACTAGGATGCAAAACGTTCATTAATAATTTTATGAAATGCACGTTCCATCATAAAAAGATAATAGAAGTATGAACTAGACTACTACAGGTCATGTTCTCAAGTCGATAATGGTTATCATGTGATTAAATTAACTAAAATTTGATCTTTGTTGTGCCATTTTTAATTCAGCGACAGATCACCTCGTGACCGGATGTCCGAAATGTTAAACGTGTCTTTGAATACGATATAAATACTGATGTATTATGGATATCCGTCATTTATGGTACGTGTTTAGTTTATGTCACGTATATCAGATTCAAACTGTTATAACACGTATCAATTCTCTCTCGTTAGATCAGAAATGGCCCTGGGCAGTATGAGATGGGAAACCGAAAGTTCGTAAATGCACTAGATGGGTATGGTAAACTTTCTAGCTGGACTTTTATTGGAAATGGTTCTGCGTATTTCTCCACCAAATTCATTAAATCAAAGACCTACACAAAGTCAGCTACAGAAGATGATATTGCACCATTTCTAACATTTGACGTCGTAGATCCGCCATTTAACGAAGTTCAAAAGACGGAATCAGTACTGAATCAGCTTGACAATATGAACGTTAATGTCTATAAGCTCCTTGATGAGGGTAAACCCGTGTTCACAGCATTGTCAGATACATGGAAATTCTACGAATTTGACCAGTCGCTTACTACATTAAGGGCTGTAAAAGCGCCATTTCCTGAAAAGGAACCCGGCGGAAATGTTGGATTCATAAATACAATGTCATGTGCACATCCAGTCCTCGAGTACGGTACATCAGATACGTATTTCAATTTCTATAGTAGTTTAAGTTTGATTCCTGGTGTGAAGCACAGATTAACTCTTGTTCGGATAAAATCCGTCAATGACCGCCAAATTGTTGCACAATGGGAAACTGAAAAAGTCGCATATATGCATTCGTTCTCAGTCACACCAAATTACGTCATATTTTTTGTCTCTCCCTATTACGTTAACATGGAGGATCTACTTATTCATGGATCAGTAGTTGATGGAATGGATTGGCTTTCCAACGATAATACAACTGTTAATATCGTTAACACAAAAACTGGTCAAATCCACAACATAGATATCGCAAACGTGATGGCGTTACATCATATCAACGCGTTTGAATTCCCAGACGGAAGGATTGCTGTTGATGTAGCAGGTCACTCAAACCCCTTCTTTTCAAACGCTTTTAAGATGTCGACCATTCACAATGCCACAGCGCGCGCAAGCATTGAATACACTACTTTGGTCAGAAGGTATATTTTTGATTTAACGAGAAACAGTTACAGTGAACATAAATTCCAGGATTATGATAGATACCATTGTGCATCGAAATTAGAAGTACCTACAATTAACGAGAATTATCGTTCAAAATCCTATTGTTTTGTGTATGGGACTGTGTTCAACTATGATGGAAAAGACTTTGGTCATATACCTCTAGTGAAAAAAGACCTTTGTGGCAAAAAGAGAGATAAGGCATTATACATACCTAACCATTACCCTAGCGAGGCCTGGTTCATATCTTCGCCACCAGAGGTCACTACGTCGGAAGACGACGGTTATCTAGTATCTGTATTCCTTGAAGGAACAACGAAGAAAAGTTATATTGCACTGATTGACCCTAAAAACATGACGATTACACATAAGGCGATGCTTCCAACCGTTGTTCCATTTAATTTCCATGGTCGTTTCTTTCAGGACATTGTTTGATTAGCTTTATTATGTGAGCTTGAATGCATGTTTGAGCGGGATTTTTTTCGCGACAGCATCATGTTGATTTTGTAATTATAGGCCTATGGATTACCAATCTACTGTACATGTATCAATATTTTAATGGAGTTTTATGTGTTACGGTCAACTGAACTGGCCAACTTGCTTCATTTAAGTATTAACTATCTGATTATTTAACCTTATCACATTTGATAAGCTTAAAGTCAGGTTCGAAATACTTGAAATCGGACGGTTCCTTTGAGACACCGGTCATAACCATATGCTTATTCATGTTGAGTTTGTTATATAAAGTTATCTGAGGTAAGCTAAATGATGCATGCCAAGCTTTAATTCATTTGAATAAATTGATCTATTTCAGATGTATCCTAGGTTTTATCGATTTATGTTCTTTGCTGTACTCATGAGGCCTGAAGAATTTTTATTTATTATTCAACCACATTTGCGAAGCATGTTTTTACAACTTATATTAATCAACCTTAGTAACATAGAAGCAAGCGCACGACGACTCTAACTGTGGAAGGACACCAAGTAATCGGGGAAAGCCCCCTTAGTCGCGCAGGTGACCCCTTAACTTTTCACGTCCGTTCCGGGAATTGAACCCAATACGCCTCGGTGAAAGATGAATACGTTACCAATGCGCCATACGTCCAACAAATAAGACATATCAAGGACGAGCAGTTGTATAATGTAGTTGGAGTAATCATTTGACCATATTGAATGTCAATCAAGATAGAGTAATATTGAAATGTGTAATCTAACTGTGTGTCTCGTAAAATTACATGTACTATCGTTCTTTCCATGAAAACTCAGAATAGTGTATCTATTTTTTTAGCTTAAGCGGACAATTGTGGTCATTTCAATGAAACCTGAGAATAGTAATCAAACTGCTTGGTAACCCCATTTTTGAAAACATAATGTCGCGTGCATATATCTGTACATTTCAAATTTAAAGTAGGCCTTAAGTTTTAAGTCTTAAGACAACCAAAAAGTATATGCCTTTTTCTAAACGTGCTATGCCGTTTTCCTCCTTAATTTACCAATATTTAAGTTTGACCCATTATTAGGTTCCGTTGTACTTCGATGGTAACGGTTTTGGAAACATCAAATATATTAACAGATTATTCTTATTTTACTTCCTTAACCATCATCAGATAAGATCAATATGTATAGTGACCAGGCTAGAAAGACTTAACTTTTTAAAAAGTGCATGCACGTATAATCCTCAAAGTTCCAGGGTTGTTTCAAAGAAAGTGGTTTGCAGGTTCAGAAGACATGCATGGATTCATAAACGACAAACATCAAAAGACAGTACTTTAGAATCATTCATTTTCAAAAAAATCACTATTTCGATAACATCTGATTTTCGTGGCGGGTACAAATCAATAAAGTTATTTATACTATTTTTACAACTCATACATGTGAATCCGAGGACTGAGAGTACCATTGTAATCAGCGAAACCCGTCCGGACGAAAATTAAATATTCTGCTGGTGGTTGATTCCTGTATACCTTACCAACTATCGCTGAGAGGACAAGAAGACAACTCTATTTCAGACTTATTTAAGAATCATCTTATTAAATAGATCCCATTTGTTTTCTCCAACAAATCCACCTACTGATCATATAAACCTGTTACATAGAGATATCTTGTATCACTCGGGAAACATCAGTTGTATAACCAGTCGAAATATGACGAGTATTTACTATGTAGGATTCAAGACTAAAACAATGTCTGAAGCGTAACTTTTCTTTGTTAATCAATGTGTAATGATTCAGTATTAATTGATATTTTCAGTATTTTGAAATAATGCACAGAAAGAAATAATATTCGATAGGGACTTTTTTCAATCATACAAGTATTTTATAGTCTTATAAAATGCTCAATGATTGTACAAAAGACACACAAGTGAATAGCACCTTTTAATAATTAGAGTTTGATACAGCAGAGCCAAACAATGAAATAAACTGCGTCATACAGCTGTATCGTCCCTTTAGGACTCGTCAGTGATATTAGGGCCTACATTTTGAAGCCTCGAAGGCTAAGGAAAATCCAAAGTGATCAAAAGGAAAGTCAAAATTTAGACGAGGAGGTGCAGCAGCCACATGATTATATGAATTTCATAATTATTATCAGGATTCTGACTTTGGATAAATGGTGTTATCATACATTGTGCTTACTATGACTCTGAGTTGAATGCCTTATGACGACGATAAAGCAAAGTGGAAGCTAGAATCAGCCCTTTCATGACAGTGGTCTGTTAATTATTTCCATGCTCACTTGCTAACACGTTTTCTCCTTTCGACAGGTTAATGTTGAGCATCATTAATTTTCAAAAATGATTCTGGTTGAAGCCTTTAATTTGGTGGTAAGATCCACAAATTGGTATATTCCTGGGAACAAAATAACCATCTCTTGCAGACTTATTTATTCATTTATTTATCAAAATGGGCGTACAGAAAAGACAATATCGCAAGGGCCTTGTCAAATCCATCATTTTTACCTTAATACATATGATGGATTTGTTTTTTGTTAAAAATAATAAATGAAATTAGCATTTCTATCGTATATACATACTTTACAGAATCTTCTACATCTGCTACTTTCCTTTATCCTTTCTTACAACAAAACCAACTGGGACAACCTCCCACTTAGATCTGTGACAATCGTGAGTTGGATATCATTATTGTGATTGCAATTATTTCTACATGAGTTCAGCTTACTTCCCAGATTTTTTATACTTATGTTCATGACCCAGTTGATTCAATAACAGAAGGCTTTCTTAAACAATGTTGGCCCCTGATATAGAAACCTATAAACATGAAATATGCGAGTGGATGAAGATTATGGAAAATTTTACAGCAGCAATTATGATCTCAAAATCGATGAAATGATGGTAAAATGTGAACGAAAGAAAGATAGAGATCATAAAGAACGGTAAGACCATGTGTTTCGAAAGGGTAAGTGCTTCATCGACGACATCGGCCATTGATCAATCCACGTGAATAATGTCATGTTCTCAAATGAGACCGCGGTTTTCAAAAACGACACTCTTAAGCATACTAACACGTATCAGACACATAACATGTCATGTCACACAAGGCAACGGAATGGAATCTTCCTCCATGATATTATAGTGGCGTCAAAAATAGTAATTTTTCTAGTTGGTTTCGGTGTAACAAGTATCCGTTCTCAATGTCTAGATGGAAAATTAATCGGATTTTCTCTTCCACGCTTTGTTAGTTAAATTCAAACGTCGACTTTTTATTAAAATATCTTTCCGAATCCGTTATAATGGTATTCCGTGTATAATAATCAATGTTTTATAAGTGCAAAAAGTTCATATGTAAGCATTAAAACAAAAAAATCCGTAATATCCATCGCAAACTTTTTAGTAGTAGACCTTCTCTGTGCTCCTTTTGCAAAATCCTGCCAGCAGTCTTCCAATCGCTGTACTTTGATTTATCTCTCAAAAACCAGCTATAATTGAACACCAAACCGTTAGACCAACCAGTGTTGATAACAAATGTAAAAATGATATTTCCATAAAATTATATATTTTTCCATATTCGCCATTACAATAAATTAAGCATTTTCAACCCAGTTTTTAATGGTACCATGTTACAATAAGCTGCCATGACATGAAAAAAGAAAATATAATTAAAGACAAAATACATATTAAAAATTCACGTTGTACAGGCAAATCGCACTAAAAACGGTCAGACATTTTGCAAATATAGAGTAAATGCACCCCTCTCAATGACCCCGACCTCCCAACAACTTTGTTGTGAACTAATTGTGTGAGTATCATAACTCTAAAAAAAATGTGTTTGTTTTAACGAAATGCAAAAAACAAAAAGACATATCCTTTTCCTTTCTGGTAAAATTAACTCACGTTGCAAAAATAGCATTACCAGGTAGATGATATTCGCGAATTAAACGGAGAGAAATACAGAGTGCTCCCTCTTCTTGTTACACAAAGGATTATTCTAAATATATCTTGTGATATTCATGACCCAAATAGTTATCATATGTGTACCCGTTATAAAATGACTATCATCACACATATTTAGTTAGCGATAGCAATGAGGTGAATTTCGGGTCGATATTTGACTTCTGTGCATTTATTCCTGATCTGAAGGGGTCAGTTTGATAGTGATTAACACTCCTGACTGAAAAAGGCCTTCAGCTGTATCAAAATTATTCAAGGGCCTGTTCCCAATATCAGGACTATCAAGCAAGAGGTCGCTAACCGACAGACACACTCATAACACTAGGTTCAAGGTTATTATGAGGATGTTTCACATTCGTCATATCGTCATAGTGATCCAGTTGAGGACTTTCTTATTTCTTTTGCGATATGAAATTGGATGTGTTTGACATCAATTAACTTGGTTTGTTTGTCTGTTGGTTCCATCGCTGTATACCGTGTTCTCAGAGATTTCATTGCGATTTCGACGATGAAGCAGAAGACGCTTACTATTCTGGAACACTTGGTCTTATTATCCTTGTTTATTTTTCAGAAGTCTTCGTGTAAATCTTTTTTTTTATCATATTTCGTATTATAAGTGAAAACAAGGTATACAACAGCGGAACCAACAGGCAAACTAACGAGCATCAAATACGTCCAGCTTCATGTCACACTAAGAAATAGAATATTTCTCAATGATATTACTATGACGACCATACGACGTAATCGTATACATCTGCATACAGCAGGATCAAGAGATAAGGACTTTTGCTTAAGGAGGTCCGGGTTATAATCGTTTTATGTATTATTTTTCGATGACATTGTTTGGATATGAGTAAGTAAAGATATTTTCTGACAAAGGTTTTTTCTTCTCTCAATTTATTCATTCCTTATCACACGTCTCTCGACTACTGCAACGCCACAACGGAGATCTGTAAATACTTCAGCTGGTGAAGGAAAATGAGTGTATTAACTAAGGAAAAATACTTTAAATCATTGTGTTAAAATTACCGCTACCAAATTGTTGTATGGTCTAAATAAAAAGAAAGTAAATGCTAACATTCCCGTGCGCCACTGAAATTTCTTTGTAATCGGAATTAAAATTGAAGTTGACAAAATTAATTAATCTCACATAATGTAACTTTTCCCGTTACGTTCCTTTAACAGTTTAACAATAATACATTTTCAGCATTATTGGGTGCTTGCAAAGGAAAACTTATGTCAAATCATGAAATTGCCTCTGTTCAATCAACTGCATGAAATTGTTTCTGTTCAGTCAACTGTATGAAATTATCTCTGTTCCCGATATGACGGGAGTTCATAAGGAATGATTTTTTTTCAACATCCGCGAGATCATACGGGGCGTATTCGATACGTGTCATGACAAATCTGACCAGAACGCAATGACAATATGTTGACATGCTCTCATGAATGACGAAACGTACGTGTCTGCCTTTGGCTGCTGTATTGTATTTAGAAGATATTTCAAGGTTTAACGTTGATTACCAAATACATTGCATGAAATTAAAAAGATACTAGGAATTCGATCTATATATCACGTGAAATTCAGCATCGTAGAATGTGTCAAAAAATTGTAAATTCATATATTTGGCGACGGTGGTTATGACGTTACGCTCTACAACAAGAACAGTGCCTTTCGTGTTGGCCGGAATATGTTTAGAAAGAAATCGTATCTTATATTCCATTCTGTAATAGGTAATCGCATGGAAAAGACAATAAAAACATTTCTTTCTACGTCGAGAAGTTGATAAATATATTTCTTAGTTTGGCACGAGTACACAAACAAGATAGGTACAAGCTCACGATATGTTCACACATGTTACTTCGCGGGTGTTTAAACACCGTGTGTCTCTATCCTGTAGTATGTGCTTGAATCGTGAAGAAACATTAATTTAGTGTCATGCTCCATTGGTTAGCCGGGTTACGAGTGTACCCGCGGTATCCCTTACCCTGGGATGTGGAGCCGCTCCAATCAACAATGTTACATTATCACAACGAAGGTTTTTAACATAGCTGTTAGCACAGGCCCTCTGTACCTTTAATACACAATACATGCCAATACAAATACACTTATTCATATTGTATAATGTCAAAACCAATTTCGCTGATCTAATATACAAAAACAGCACGAACGACGTTCTATGTAGGTCAGATTACATGTAATCATTTACACTGATTGCTAGCACTACACGATCTATAGTGTCTGGCGTACTGTGCTATAAATAGCTCCGTACATGTGTGAGGGTATAAGTGTATAATAATACAACCGTCGTAGAAGCGTTATACCAGTTAAAACTCTACTCATGCGACCTGCTTGACGGGTTCCCATTTTTCTCCCTATCGAAATGTTGTCCTCGTCGAATACTGTACGACGAACTGTATATCAGTTCGTCCGGACCCTATCGTCAACCTGTTGTAAACAAAGTCCGGAGCTCAAGGTCGCCAGTACAGAAAACAGAAACATGGTAAGCTACATATGTTATATCAGCGATCGTTTGTTTACAAACAAGCCCATTGTTTGACCGCTGTTCTAGACAAGGGGATAAATGATGTAACGTGCATACCTTAAATGAGTTCTAAACAGCTGTGTGATATAGGTGGTATATATTATATCTGAAATACTTTCGCACAAATGGGTATTATTGTACGATAATGTATTCTTCATCAGTAAGAGTCTATGTTATCCAGAAATATAATCTACTCCATGTAATTTAACCTGTCCAATCGTCAAACATACTTTCTTCCTCTTCGAGGTACAACTTAACGCATAAGTCTTGCCTGTTTGAATTACCACGTTACACCGACGTTTTACCTGTTTGAATTACCAAGTCACACAGACGTTTTATCTGTTTGAATTATCACGTCATACAGACGCTCTATCTATTCTTACCTGTTTGAATTACCAAGTCACACAGACGTTTTATCTGTTTGAATTATCACGTCATACAGACGCTCTATCTGTTCTTACCTGTTTGAATTACCACGTTACACAGACGTTTACCTGTTCTTACCTGTTTGAATTACCACGTTACGCAGACGTTTACCTGTTTGAATTACCACGTTACACAGACGTTTTACCTGTTTGAATAACCACGTCACACAGACGTTCTATCTGTTCTTACCTGTTTGAATTACCACGTTACACAGACGTTTTATCTGTTTTTACCTGTTTGAATTACCACGTTACACAGACAATTTATCTGTTTTTGCCTGTTTGAATTACCACGTTACACAGACGTTTTACCTGTTTGAATTACCACGTCAAATAGACGTTTTACCTGTTTGAACTACCACGTCACACAGACGTTCTATCTGTTCTTATCTGTTTGAAGTACCACGTTACACAGACGTTTATCTGTTTGAATTACCACGTCACACAGACGTTTTACCTGTTTGAATAATCAAGTCACACAGACGTTCTATCTGTTCTTGCCTGTTTGAATTACCACGTTACACAGACCTGTTTGTACCGCTATGTACGGCGAGGACGTCAGAGAGACGTTTTACCTATTCGAATGACCTAAGGACGACTTTTAACTGTTCCATTTACCAATATATGTGCCTGTTCATATGAGGACGTAAGAAAGAAGTTTAACCTATTCGAATGACGACGCAAGATCGACTTTTATGATTACCTCGGTGTGAAACATATGCATGTTATCCAACGGATACTGTACTTGCTTGAGTGACCGTGTCACTCACACGTTTTACCTATTCAAGTAATCGTGTCCAGACGCTAATTGAAACGGCTCATTCCCCGAACACCAACTCTGCCAACTTGAAAGGAGGGTGTTTATAAAGGGAATCCTTTGATGTTAAAGTTATAGTCTGTTTCAACTAAGAATGTCAACTTGTCCTTGTAAATAGGATACGTACATATCAATAAGGAAATAGGTAAAGTTTTTTTTTTTTGTTTTACATATATAAATGTAACACATTTTTTAGTATATTAAGTATTACAAAATAGTTATTAATTATTAGTATTTAAAATTGTTATTTATTATTTCAATGATTATCATATAAGGTTATATTTAATTGATAAATGAAATTTAGTAAGTCACAATGATACACTGATGTCTGTTATTAAATTGTATTTGTATTACATATATATAATGTTGAAACATTATCCACATCTTAGCATTAAATAAAGTATGATCTAATATAAATAGTAAACCCCTAAATGAAGCGGAATTAGCACTATGTATGACAATACATTATCCATTTATCTAGATATTATGTCCTTTTACAACCTGTGATAATCAAGTAATCCATACGTCCAGAAAACACAAAACACTCTATCCAAGATGCAGAAGCTCGGATGCTGATCACAGTCTGGTAACGGTCCTTCAAGGTGGCCAGGCGTCTGTCAATGTTGGCGTATTTCTTCTTCCGGGGTTGAATGGTGCCTCCTGCGTCTCTCTGAATCCGGCTGATGTCGTTCATGTTCTGTATGTCCTTAAACGTCTGGATGATGGTGTAGATGTTGGGGTGGGCATGCAGTACCTTCTTAAGTTTTCCGTGCCAAGCTTCCAGATGGTTGGTAGTCCGGGGTCCCTCGGTTGAGAAGTGGTTCCAGGTGGTACGATCTCCCTCTATCCATTGTGTGCAGCTACCTCAAAATCGACGAAGGCTGTAGTGGGTCGGAATGGAATGTCGAAGTGTGCCATGTGATCCTGGAGAAGGGTGAAGAAACGGCTGTAGATTGCCTGGCTCTTTCCGGGAAGTAATGCGTATACGACTGGTGTCATGATGCCTTCATTCTGTACATGGACGCTGTAAATCTGATGAAACATTGTTGGACAGTTGTAGAAAGTTCCGTCACAGAAGAAGGTGTCAGATGCTGCAAGTTCGGCCAGGTTCTCCGACGAAGCGAATGCAATCATCCTGTTGTTCTGTTCACCGTCGTCAAAGAGGAGAAATGGTTCGCCTGTAGATGCTTCTGTCCATCTTCCATCCAAGGTGATGTCGGCCAAAGTCTTTGGTAGTGGAGGAGTCTGCTTGCGGCGAGCACGGTAAAGAGACGATTTCGCTGTGTAGAATGTTGGTAGTCGCTGGACCACGGCCTTGGAAGTGTCATCCCAGTCGTTGTCTCGGAGTTGATTGAGCTCTTCCTCAAAGATGGACGGAATAGGCTGGACCGATTATACGCATTTGTTGGTGATCTGGTTCATGATCTGTTTGGCTACAACACTGGCTGGGTCTGAGGCGTGGGTGTGTGGATTTCTTCCGAAGTTAGCTGGTATGTTGTCGATTGTCGAGAGTGATGCTGAGCAGCCTGAGGTCGAACATCTCCAGAATGTCCTGCTGCCGTTCTTTCGAATCTGTCTGAAGATGAATCCATTATGTGAAAGGTTCTGTCCGCCTCTTCTGTTGGTGATGAACTTAACGTTGATCTGAGCATTAGCCATACTGTCCTTGTATCAAACAACAAAGATAATAATATCGCTCAAATTAAACACAATTTACAGAAAAACTGAGAGAAAATACAACATTAACTAATATATGACAAAAGTTACAATTTACACAAAAACTGAAAGAAAATACAAGATTTAACTAATATTTGACAAAAGTTACAATTTACACAAAAACTGAAAGAAAATACTAGATTAACTTGTATATATATGACAAGAGTTATGATTTGACAATATATATCTGTGACAAAAGTACAGTAATAAATCAAGCAATGATTGAGATATTGATCTTTCAAAGTGCAGATTGAAATATGATAATTTCCCAAAATGAACTTGGCTTTTATACATTTCCCACTGAATAGCCTGGGATTTAAACAGATTTAACACAGATATTTGATTCCTTTATTTTACAGTTATTAACAGTTTTCAGTTTTCTGAACAGTTATCAGAATCAGAACTTAATCATCTGTTTTACCTGTTTTCTGAACAGTTATCAGAATTTACCCGTGCAAGTTACCTGTACTACAATTCTAAAACCGCTTATAATCCACTATTATCACAGTTGACCTCCTATGTTAACATGTTGTCATATACAGAGTTGGTGTTCGGGGAAGACCCCATTGAAACGACGGCCGTCTACCTACACTAATTAATGACTAAGTCTGAATAGTGATTTAGCTGTCGATGGTCTCGCTTGACTGACGTTTTTCTGCACCAGGCGTGTTACATATACACACCTGTGTATATTACTTATATGCATGTCCATCATGGTACAACAGATATAATGTCTGTCTAGATGAACAATATTGATCGTTAAATACGTAACATTACAACCACATATATGTGCTATCTATACATACAATATTATGGATGTTACACCAAGTTTCCGATGAGTGACTGAAATTTCCGTTTTCTGAAACATATGTAACCGGCCTAACGGTCTTAAATATCTTTACTTTTGTCTGTTACTTGTTTACACAAAACGGAAGGAGTAATGTATTAACACTTAAGCAATTTAAATTTAGCTTGCTGGTTATAATGACGGGCTAACATTAGAGTGTAATTCAGGGCATCAAGAAAATAAAACTGTGCCAATAGATTTTTGTTGGCAGCCCTGAATACTTGACACTGTGCCAATAACGTAATGTTGTGCGTTAGTTTAGCGAAAGGCAAATCTAACACTAGCACGGTTATTCAATTATATACCCTAATTTACGCAAGTAAAATATATCTGACATATAAATGAGGCATAACCATCATTTTAGTTAAATTAATTAAAGCGATATTTCTAAAATCGCACGTTTTAAATTTCGCTGAAATACACTAATTTCAAAGCTTTCGGCGCTCAAGAGGGATAGGGCCTTTTTTTAGACTTCGCTGTTACTTGGTAATTACGACATTAAAAGAATGTGCTTCGTATGGCACCATACATCAAGCGACATTGGATTGCAGCATGTCGTCACTTGTCGACAATGAAGTTTATTAGTCCTGCATTACTTCACCCGTAAAATATCTATAGTCAGTTAGAATAAATTGCTACTAATTAGCATGGAAAGCTTTGTGACAAGTATTGAGGGAAACGTATATATATCTTATCAAAATAGCATTAATAAGGTTTTATTATTATTTTTTTTAATGTCCATTTTTGTAAAACAAAAACCTGAAGTTCCCGTCATAATCATGGCAAGGAACATTCGTTTTTAATTTTTGATTGAAAGTCTAAAAAATGCATCCGCCTCTTTTTTGAAATGATAAGATACATACAATTGAACGCAGTTCTGGACCCCACGATGTTTAGTATTTACTACAATGTGCTGTGTTAATGAATACATATGCCTTTTGTATCATCCCTTTATAACAATAAATGGTAGCAATGAATCTGTTAACAAAACTTCAGTTCAATTTGTTCTGTAATATTCAGAAATGTAATGTAATAAAATCAGTTACTTGTCAATTACAAAGGTGTTCTTATTACTCACATTGAGAGTATAAATATTGTTCTCACTTGCAGGTTGGCCCTGCTCCAGGTATTGGGAGGATCAGTGATGGTGGATTTACCTCCCCTGACACAGTATCCAAACAGACAACAGAAGGTAATGATCGACTGAAACATTTTTTTTCTTTTTTAAATGAATCGAATAAAACCAAACGATTTCTTTCAGATTCTAGCTTTCTATCAATAAAATGTGATGTATATTTCAAGACTACTAGAAATTGTCTTTCATGAATTTTATAACCCTCACTCCAATCTCATAGCAACCGTTGAGTTTTGACAGTCTCTCACTCCTCCAGTTCAGAAAACAGGGATATGTGAACATATTGCAAGTGTATTAAGATCTATCCTGGCATGTTTACGATATTTTTCGACGTTTCGAAGAGCTGTCACCATTCGATAAAATGGCACCCCACTATGAGGTATATTTACACAGAGAAGTGCAATTTTATATAGTATTGATCTAATACCTCAACACTCCACACTCCTTCATAAAGAAAAGAATACACTGTTAATTTGCTTTGAGATCCCTTTTCACATAGCATGTGAAAACTTCTCATGCCTCTGTGGTCTAGAAGCGTTCCTGTTTGAATTGCCTTAAATGATGGTGGATATTCCTGTTTTCTGTCCATAGGTCTTCATGTAAAGATATCGCTATAAAGTGTACGGCATGCCGTAAACTGTCCCTAAACTTCATCAAACATCGTTAAATCGTCATATTTAAGTTAGTCAGAAAACCATCTGTCATTGGAATCAGGCGCTGAATCTCTTTAAACAAGACTTCAAAGCAATATATCATATCAAAACGGCAAGTACGTGATCATCTTTATTGTAGTGTTAGCACGATCAGTTGGTAACTCGCCTGGGGGCTATTTCACATCCTTATCTTGTAAAACTTTGCAGTTAGGATATAAAACTCCCGGTTCACAATTTTGAGGAAACAACAGTTTGGAACCTTTGTAAACATGGCATTGATTGTCTCAACTCGAAAAAAAAGTCGGCGTTGATTGGCTCAGTGAATTAGAAGACCATTTCTATGTTCTCTTACTGTTTTTTGGCGAATTATAAATCATAATTACCTGTGTCTGTTCCATATTGTAGTTTTCCCTAAAACGTGGCCGGTTTGGGATGCAAAATGTGAGCGGGTGACCTTCTTGAACATGGACTGTAGCACCATGGACACAACGACATCGTTGAGTATGTTTGAACTCAAAGTGAAATGTGACGTGGAACAGTTGATGCCGGAGTGTGTCTACATTCAGCAGCTAAATCGTGACGTGTACACAACTAAACTGATATCACTCATGTCGAAGCTCGGCTACGACAGTCACAATTTTCTGGGGGATCAGGTGGGGCAGGCGACATTCTACAAGAATCAACAAACAAGAAACAAAGATAAATGAATAATGTTAACAAGAGATGAACTAACATTTTGTATATCAACTATATAAACAAGTGTCATGCCTGTATTACAATGTTTAAAATATCTGGTGTTTTGGCTTAAATGACTATCAGTTGATATTCAACAGAATTTCCGAAATAAGTCTCCTTTTTACACCTTTTTTCCAAAGTTCCAGAAAAATCCCAAACACTGAATTAAAATGAACTGACAATGTTTACATATCTATATATTTAGAAGGGAAACTTCTTATTTTCCCGTCATCTTCGCCGATGCTGTATATTTTTAAGGTTTTTGTAAACCGTAACAGAAATCACTGAAGGAATTTCATAGATATTCAGGTCAATACTCGTCCTGTGTATGGACAACTTTACGTGGAGAGTTTATAAAGAAATGGTCTTTCGTTGGGGAAATGTTAGTATTTTCTGTTTTAAACTGATATTTGTGTATTCGCCAAACTTGTTTACATAATGGGGATAGCCAATTCGAATATCCCGTATTAGTTATTCAGTCATAATACATTTTTTGTGCCCAAGGCTACAATTTATTATTATTATTATTGTGTTAATACATTGTACCATATTATGTTAATATGTTTCCATTTCGAAATGTCATTAGTTTCTTAAAATCTTGTTTTCTTTTAATGTTTATCTATGTTATTGACGGAGAATTAGTACATATTGTTTACCTCGCACTCAGCATTTGCCTTTATAATACATCCAACCCGTATACATCATACGTGATTTAAGGACCTGGCCCCATTTTCGTGAATCTTTCTTAACTTAAGGAAACTGTAACTTACAAAGAAAAGAATTGCGTAAGTTAATTAAATCTTAAGACTAAAAGACGTTTTCTTAACTTATGAAATGCTTTCCTATGAGCAATTAAAAGCCAAGAAAAAATTCCTAAGTTAAGGAAGATTCATGAAATTGGGGTCTTGGATTGAGAATTGATGCCAGGCCCTTCCGAGATTCTTCTGCCGTTTTAACTGCACCACGAAAAATCTATTTTATTTTCATTTCTAATTGATATTAACTCAAAACAACTTTAAAGGAATTCTGTGAAATAATAAAATGATATTGCTCTCATTTCTAGATTTTTCATGCTGACGTGTTTTGAGTTAACAGTAAATATTTAACAGTGTAGTTTTTCTGCAAGGAGAGACATGTTATCAACTATTTATTAGCACTTCTGTCAAATTCACAAATCGCACCCCAACGCTTGTGTTTGGCCTTCAAGATCTTCAATATGATATTAAAATGTATTAAAACGATGCAATATTGACCATTTTTAATTTCTATTACTAAAATAATAATATATGCACTATGTTGATATCGTGTTTGTGAGTTGACCGATGTTATAACCCGGATGATTAGTTAAATGAGGTTATAACTAACATCAAAAGAGATTACTTTTCGATGTCATCCAAACGTTTTACTGACAATGGTGGTATGACATTTTGAAATGCATGAAAAACAAAATCCGTATCTTCGAAGTTCGGTAAAGAATTGATATGAAACTTTCATCTTGACAATGTAAATGTAAATATGATACTCTTCTTAACCGTTTTCATCACATGTAAAATAATAAATATATATATATTCTGAGAGCACGATAAGATGTTTATATTGAAGTACGGTTATATATTTAATGTGACAAAATACTTATTCTTTTATAGAAATGAATATATTTGATAGCATGTGACGAGTAGAAATTTTCGTGCAGTTTTCATTTTGAAAATACCTGTTTGAATGAAAGAAATTTGAAAGGTTTCGTCTCGATTTTATCCTGATTATGATTGTTTCTAAAGGAAATAAACGGTTGTTAACAATAAAACGTGTTTTAGTTTTTAATTATAGAACAGTTTCTTATCATTATAGTGACAAAAGTTGAAGGGAGGTAAGTCTTAAATCTTATCCCAGTGTAGTCGTTGAATGTACCTAACAACCACTCATAAAATCATTTAATGTAAGGTTGTTATAAAACAGATGGATCATAACATTCACTGACAGAAACACAGTTTGCAAGAGTTAAAGGCAATTACAACTAGTACTTGACTGTGTCAGTCAAATGACATTTTTAACTTTGACAAGTTAGCATTACATCTCGCCTATCTTAATCAGGGGACATAATCCATGAACTCCCTCGTTGGGAAATAATCCTGAAAGCGGTTTATAGCTGAGTGTGGTGCAACAAAGAAGAAAGTTGTATAGGGAGTATAGATATGTATATATATTTATACCGAAATGTATTTATATTTCTCGATTCCTTCAATGACAACAGAAGGTACAATTATTAAGCATTACTTGCATTTAAATTGAGGTAAAATGTTACTGATTTGAGGACAGATGTTACAGAATTGAGGTAAAATGTTACTGATTTGAGGACAGATGCTACAGAATTGAGGTAAAATGTTACTGATTTGAGGACAGATGTTACAGAATTGAGGTAAAATGTTACTGATTTGAGGACAGATGCTACAGAATTGAGGTACAATGTTACTGATTTGAGGACAGATGTTACAGAATTGAGGTAAAATGTTACTGATTTGAGGACACAGATGCTACAGAATTGAGGTAAAATGTTACTGATTTGAGGACAGATGTGACAGAATTGAGGTAAAATGTTACTGATTTGAGGACAGATGTTACAGAATTGAGGTAAAATGTTACTGATTTGAGGACAGATGTTACAGAATTGAGGTAAATTGTTACTGATTTGAGGACACAGATGCTACAGAATTGAGGTAAAATGTTACTGATTTGAGGACAGATGTGACAGAATTGAGGTAAAATGTTACTGATTTGAGGACAGATGTTACAGAATTGAGGTAAAATGTTACTGATTTGAGGACAGATGTGACAGAATTGAGGTAAAATGTTACTGATTTGAGGACAGATGTGACAGAATTGAGGTAAAATGTTACTGATTTGAGGACAGATGTTACAGAATTGAGGTAAAATGTTACTGATTTGAGGACAGATGCTACAGAATTGAGGTAAAATGTTACTGATTTGAGGACAGATGCTACAGAATTGAGGTAAAATGTTACTGATTTGAGGACAGATGTTACAGAATTGAGGTAAAATGTTACTGATTTGAGGACAGATGTTACAGAATTGAGGTAAAATGTTACTGATTTGAGGACAGATGCTACAGAATTGAGGTAAAATGTTACTGATTTGAGGACAGATGTTACAGAATTGAGGTACAATGTTACTGATTTGAGGACAGATGTTACAGAATTGAGGTAAAATGTTACTGATTTGAGGACAGATGTTACAGAATTAAGGTAAAATGTTACTGATTTGAGGACAGATGTGACAGAATTGAGGTAAAATGTTACTGATTTGAGGACAGATGTTACAGAATTGAGGTACAATGTTACTGATTTGAGGACAGATGTTACAGAATTGAGGTAAAATGTTACTGATTTGAGGACAGATGTTACAGAATTGAGGTACAATGTTACTGATTTGAGGACAGATGTTACAGAATTGAGGTAAAATGTTACTGATTTGAGGACAGATGTTACAGAATTAAGGTAAAATGTTACTGATTTGAGGACAGATGCTACAGAATTGAGGTATAACGTTACTCATTCGAGGACTGATGCCACAGAATTGAGGTAAAATGTTACAAATAGAACTTAACCAATGATTAATGATTTTAGAAAGCGAATAGTGAAAGTAGATTAAAAAGATGCTAGATATAGACAATGAATTTAAAAATAATAGGTGATAGTTATACAGGTGTAAGTCATATATACAATGTAGGTGAAAGGTATATACAATGTATAAATACATACATGTGATAGTTACAAACATGAAGTGATAGGTAAACAGGTGTTAGTTATATACAGGTTATAATTATATACAGCTGATAGTTATAAACAAGTGATACTTATAGACAGGTAACAATTTTAGACAGGTAGTAGTTACAAACCGATGGTAGATATAGACATGCAGTACTGAAAGATAGATATGAGGTAGTTATAGACAGGTGGTGGTTATAGACAGCCGGTAGATAGACAGGTGGTGATTATAGACAGGTGGTAGATAGATAGGAGGTAGTTATAGGCAGGTGGTGGTTATAGACAGGTGGTAGATAGACAGGTGGTGATTATAGACAGGTGGTAGATAGATAGGAGATGGTTATAGACAGGTGGTGGTTATAGACAGGTGGTAGATAGATAGGAGGTAGTTATAGACAGATGGTGGTTATAGACAGGCGGTAGATAGACAGGTGGTGTTATAGACAGGTGGTAGATAGATAGGAGATGGTTATAGACAGGTGGTGGTTATAGACAGGTGGTAGATAGATAGGAGGTAGTTATAGACAGGTGGTGGTTATAGACAGGCGGTAGATAGACAGGTGGTGATTATAGACAGGTTGGTAGATAGATAGGAGATGGTTATAGACAGGTGGTGGTTATAGACAGCCGGTAGATAGATAGGAGATGGTTATAGACAGGTGGTGGTAATAGACAGCCGGTAGATAGATAGGAGGTAGTTATAGGCAGATGGTGGTTATAGACAGCCGGTAGATAGACAGGTGGTGATTATAGACAGGTGGTAGATAGATAGGAGATGGTTATAGACAGGTGGTGGTTATAGACAGCCGGTAGATAGATAGGAGATGGTTATAGACAGGTGGTGGTAATAGACAGCCGGTAGATAGATAGGAGGTAGTTATAGGCAGGTGGTGGTTATAGACAGCCGGTAGATAGACAGGTGGTGATTATAGACAGGTGGTAGATAGATAGGAGATGGTTATAGACAGGTGGTGGTTATAGACAGCCGGTAGATAGATAGGAGATGGTTATAGACAGGTGGTGGTAATAGACAGCCGGTAGATAGATAGGAGGTAGTTATAGGCAGATGGTGGTTATAGACAGCCGGTAGATAGACAGGTGGTGATTATAGACAGGTGGTAGATAGATAGGAGATGGTTATAGACAGGTGGTGGTTATAGACAGCCGGTAGATAGATAGGAGATGGTTATAGACAGGTGGTGGTAATAGACAGCCGGTAGATAGATAGGTGGTGGTTATAGACAGGTGGTGGTTATAGACAGCCGGTAGATAGACAGGTGGTGATTATAGACAGGTGGTAGATAGATAGGAGGTAGTTATAGGCAGGTGGTGGTTATAGACAGGTGGTAGATATACAGGTGGTGATTATAGACAGGTGGTAGATAGATAGGAGATGGTTATAGACAGGTGGTGGTTATAGACAGCCGGTAGATAGATAGGAGGTAGTTATAGGCAGGTGGTGGTTATAGACAGCCGGTAGATAGACAGGTGATAGTTATAGACAGGTGGTAGTTATAGACAGCCGGTAGATAGACAGGTGGTGTTATAGACAGCCGGTAGATAGGCAAGTGGTGGTTATAGACAGCCGGTAGATAGACAGGTGGTGATTATAGACAGGTGGTAGATAGATAGGAGATGGTTATAGACAGGTGGTGGTTATAGACAGCCGGTAGATAGATAGGAGATGGTTATAGACAGGTGGTGGTAATAGACAGCCGGTAGATAGATAGGAGGTAGTTATAGGCAGATGGTGGTTATAGACAGCCGGTAGATAGTCAGGTGGTGATTATAGACAGGTGGTAGATAGATAGGAGATGGTTATAGACAGGGGGTGGTTATAGACAGCCGGTAGATAGATAGGAGATGGTTATAGACAGGTGGTGGTAATAGACAGCCGGTAGATAGATAGGTGGTGGTTATAGACAGGTGGTGGTTATAGACAGCCGGTAGATAGACAGGTGGTGATTATAGACAGGTGGTAGATAGATAGGAGGCAGTTATAGGCAGGTGATGGTTATAGACAGGTGTTGTTATAGACAGGTGGTGATTATAGACAGGTGGTAGATAGATAGGAGATGGTTATAGACAGGTGGTGGTTATAGACAGGTGGTAGATAGATAGGAGGTAGTTATAGACATATGGTGGTTATAGGCAGGCGGTAGATAGACAGGTGGTGTTATAGACAGGTGGTAGATAGATAGGAGATGGTTATAGACAGGTGGTGGTTATAGACAGCCGGTAGATAGATAGGAGGTAGTTATAGGCAGGTGGTGGTTATAGACAGCCGGTAGATAGACAGGTGGTGTTATAGAAAGCCGGTAGATAGACAGGTGGTGATTATAGACAGGTGGTAGATAGATAGGAGGTAGTTTTAGGCAGGTGGTGGTTATAGACAGGTGGTAGATAGATAGGAGATGGTTATAGGCAGGTGGTGGTTATAAACAGCCGGTAGATAGACAGGTGGTGGTTATAGACAGGTGGTGGTTATAGACAGGTGGTAGATAGATAGGAGGTAGTTATAGGCAGGTGGTGGTTATAGACAGCCGGTAGATAGACAGGTGGTGGATATAGACAGGTGGTGGTTATAGACAGGTGGTAGATAGATAGGAGATGGTTATAGACAGGTGGTGGGTATAGACAGGTGGTAGATAGGTAGGAGGTAGCTATAGACAGTTGGTGGTTATAGACAGGTAGTAGCTATAGACAGGTGGTAGTTATAGACAGGTGGTAGATAGATAGGAGATGGTTATAGACAGGTGGTAGTTATAGACAGGTGGTAGATAGATAGGAGGTAGTTATAGGCAGGTGGTGGTTATAGACAGCCGGTAGATAGACAGGTGGTGATTATAGACAGGTGGCAGATAGATAGGAGATAGTTATAGACAGGTGGTGGTTATAGACAGGTGGTAGTTATAGACAGCCGGTAGATAGACAGGTGGTGTTATAGACAGCCGGTAGATAGGCAAGTGGTGGTTATAGACAGCCGGTAGATAGACAGGTGGTGATTATAGACAGGTGGTAG